TTAAGTAGGTGTTTTATACAACCCTAAAAACCTTGCTATTGAAAAAATAAAACTTGTTTATTTGGTATGGCTGGATTCGGTTTTCTATAATCTTTTCAACGAGCCCCATCATGCCTTATGTTTCCAATTGAAAAAAAAAGTAGGGGTAACTGGGGGTTAGGGGGTTGAAGAAAAATTAATTATTATAGAACAGAAATATGGGAAAAAATCAAAATCAGTTAACGTGTTTCGGCGTTTTAAAAAAAAATTAACTAATTCAAAAGATATGAATTTTATTCCGTACTTCTGGCCATCCCTGTATGTATTAACATTATAATTAATCTAATAACCACTTATAATCCTTTAATGTGTAGATTCTACAAATACTTACCATATGCGTGTATACATTTAAATATAAACAGTCTTCTTGTCCTTCAACTACGGGATTTGCAAAGAAGTAGTTTTTCTGAATGCAAACTGGGCCATCTTGCGTAGCGTCTAAGACACCTTCCCACTTCTCAGGTGGTTCAGGAGCCTAAAACAAATTCATTATGATTTTTTTTATTATAATAATTTAATACACGCCATATCAAAATTTTCCTACATAGACTAAACAGTTTTTTTTTATTTGAAATTGTACTGGGATCTTCCCACAGCGTCACCTCTGATTTCCTCGTTACTAGATATTAAAGAAAAGCTAAATATAAAATTACGTTCTCCCTTTCAGTTTCGAAAACGATTTCTGATAAGAAGTGCCAACAAAAGGTGCAAGGCGAACAACGTTTTGAAGTTGTTTTTTACCTGTTAGACCTCTTTTATGCACGCGTTTTTCTCCTCTCAACGCGAAGTTGACAAAATCGCCGCGTTTCAAGATACCCTGAATAGAGTTACTACGTTTATGCATTTTACGCTCGTTTATTTGCTCTCGCGTTTTCAATTCTGTCGCGATGGCTTTACAGAACGCTTGGCGACACGCGTTCCGAAAAAGCACGAAAGTATATCGGCGTTTTTATGCAAAGCGCTCTTTGTCGCAAGTCCAGTGGCTCTGTCTGTCAAGAATAGTTTTAGCACAGTTTGTTTTAGTTTTAGTTTAGCTATTGATCAAGCGGGACATGGATGCAATGGACGCAATTGAATTCTATTTCTATTAATTGGATGTACTGCCCATCGCCTCTTACGTTTTCTATTACATATTTTTTTATAGCACAAATACAATATACACGGATCCATTTTCATGTACTTCACTGACTACTGTGTGGCATGAAACTGGCGACAACTGATAGAATACGCGTGCATAAAATGGAGCAGAAATAT